GTAGGTTGGGCAAAAAAAAAATTGTCTAAAAAAAATAAAAATGGGTTGGCTCATTGGGCTGGGTGGCTGGAGATGGTCAACTCGCTGACCTGATTTGGTGCTTTTGACTCGATGGGGCCCACAAGCCCTTTGGCCTAACCCTCAGTTAGAGATGATTTTCGTGTCATTTCGACTTATTTTTGGCCTTATAACACTTTGGCTGGATCGGTTGGAGATAGTCTAACATCTAGTGACATGATACCTCCCAAATTCGCAATAACCATATGACTATACTCACATCCGTGTGCTTCTTCTTCTTTTTTTAAAGAAAACTTTGGTGGTATAGGTTATTGATGGCGGAAAAAAAAAAAGAATTACACCTAATCAGGACGACATAAACCTTAATATTCTAAAAATGAAAACAAAAAAGATACAAAAAAAAAAAAAAAAAAAAAAAAAAAAAGACAACAAAATACAGCAATTTCGTAATCCATGAAACTTCATAACAATTAAAATAAAAGTAATCAGAAGTAGCACACACTTCAGTTGTAAAGGAATTAGGCATTACAATATGCAAACCAGAACAATGAGCAAAAAGCACACTTCAGCTTGGTTGTCAACAAAAGCTGTTCTCAATATGTGTCACAAACTCATCAAAATCAATTAGTCCATCTCCGTTCGTATCAACGGCCTCGATCATCCTCCGGCATTCGTCCAATCCAAACCCGTCCTCCAAACCCAAAATGTATAAAACTCTTTGTAACTCTGCAGCATCTATAAACCCGTCTTTATTTTCATCAAACACATCAAACGCTTCCTTTACCTCCTCCAAGCTAGGCTCCTCCTCATCGAACAGTCTCGAAAGCTCCTCCTCCGCACCCACCCCGCCTTGAATATCATCTCCTTGTGTATCATAACATATTAACCCTAGTCTGTCCATCACCGTCTTCACTTCTGCGGTTACTTCTGTTTTATCAGAAGTTGATTTGCGGGTATTGGTGCAAACCTTCTTCGAAGGTGTGGAGAAAAATGTTACAAAGGGATGAAACATGTGGTGTAAAGATAAAACTAAGAAATTTAATACCCAAGAAATCGATGCTGAAAAATAAAGCCAGACCAGTTGAGTTGTGTTTGTTGGTATGTCCTTCATGGCTAAGTGATAGGGCAAACCAACACTTAGAGACTGTTATATAGAAAGAAAAAAAAAAAAAAGGGAGCGACTTGGTGACTTGTGCTTGAAGGGTCAACGGCTTTAACTTTCTTAAGGGGAGAAGATGCAGTGCTCTTTTTTCTGTCGAATAAATTTTCGTGGAAGATGCACAAGAATTTACTGAAGAGTGTTTGGGAAGGGAAACAGAAAGTTACATCCTCCTATTCCCAATGGGCCAATAGGAGTACCAGACTTTTAACCCTTGGGTTAAAACATAAGATTTTTAACCTCCAAAAAATTTAGATTTTAATTCAGAAACATGTTTTTTGTTTAAACTTTTATGGGTTAAACTTTTGGTCTGAAATTATTAAAGAATGAATTTAGAATTATTAAAATAACTTTTTTCAAAAAAAAAAAAAATTATGTAAACTATCCTAATTTAATTTTATGAAAAATTTAACCTAAAAATATTTAGGTTCCAGTAAATATTGAAAAATCACTAAACTGACACTATGAAACTCGCGGAACACTACGAAAGAACATGAAACACATAAAAGAATTTTTTAAATTATTTTAGCCATTGGATTTAAATTTGGACCGTTAAATTTTTTTTTCTTTACCGTTAGATTTGATCATATTAGATCTTAGCCGTTGAATTCAATGAATTTATAAATATAAAACTAAAAAAAATACACATATATGGTGGCCCAACCCGCTTAACCCGGTAGGAATTCTGGACTAAATTTGCCCCAAAAATGAGCTTTGGGTTAATACTCATATTTGGCCTAAGGGTTGGAGCAAATTAGGGTAGGTTTAGAACCTAAAATTTGAGTTTTACTCTAAGAATTGGAGTAGGTCTATGAGAGTAAGCTTTTGGGTTTTTACTTTTATTTTAAAACTATATTGGCATGTAGTTAATCTCATTCTCATGTTTTTTTCTTCTCTTTTACTGGTTCATGACTTCTCGCATTCTAAATTAAAAGGGATTCAAAACCGTTTCATTTTCTAACCAATATGGCTACGCATATGTACATATGCGGGATTTTTGAATTATAGTAAATTTAATTTTCAAATTTGTTTGAACCAAACCTACCTTTCTTCAAATATGCAAAAAACAACAAAAGAAATTAAACAACCTACAATCTGAATTGGAAGTTCACATCGCCTTTGCAAGTTTCCAGAACTTGATAGTTATTGCGTGACCGACTTAACGTTTCATGTTCCACGAGGACATCCAATGTCCAAAAGGCTTTACGAATCTTCTAAGAAATTGGGACAACATCCTTTTGTTTTCCTTCCAACTTCTCTCTGTCAGGAGGAATTTCAATGCAAGGACTTGTAGTTACAGTGTTTAAAAACATTTTACTCAAAAGTAATGAGTTTGATTTTAGAAGTTATTCGAATTTCAAAAATCAGGTGAATGAGATAACAAAACGCACTGTTGTGCATATACATGATTGCTTGCTCGAATGCTTGAGCAACTTTTAATGGAAACATAATAACACGCCATAACCAAAGAGGATTTTCGATCACAGCAAAAACAATGGCTCCTCAGAATATTATGTTAAGCATAAACGCAAGACCTTTTTGAGGAGGAAGCTGCCCATAACTATCTCAAGATTCTTTGCTCCTTGAAATCCTAAAATCCACCACATCGAGTCAAGTCGTTTCAGAGCAGTCCCAATGCAAAATGAGGTCTAAGACGAAAATGAAATGTGGCCTTCCAAATTTGGTATTTTAGGATGATTTCTTTCATAACAATATGAATTTGAGGTAGTCAGATTAGATTATGAGAATAAGAGATTGTTTTCGTTCTTTTTAATCAAGAGTACGATTTTTTTATTTTAACAAATTTATTATTATCAATAGGAGTAAGAGGGTTTAAAACTATTACTATAATTTAAGAGAGTGAAAATTTCAAACTCGGAACGCATGTAGGTAAACTCAACAACTATCCATTATGATTGCTACGATGAATAATGCAAAGTATGAAGAAAATCAAGGCCTGATTTAAAAGTGAGGACAAGGCACATGCCTTGTTCGCCTTGCCTATGGCCGTCTCTAAGTCGTTTTGAGTTCCAAACCGGGTTGGGCCCAACTAAAAGTCTAAAAGCTTTGAAGCCCAAAATTATTATTTTCATAACAACGAGGCCCAAGCGACGAGGAAACATACATATGTGACATGTCTGGGAGAACTTTTCTGTTAAAACTTCAAAGTTCAAAACAAACAAGAGAAAAAGAAAGGTGTATATATGAAGAACCCTTTTTCCACTAATTATCTTCTATTTTATATACCAAAAGAAGAAATTAAATCATACGGCAACCAATAAAGAACATGATTAGTAAGGTTTGATATTAATCTCCTTTGTTTTACTTCAAAGTCAAGGTGTTGATGTTAACATGCAAACATATTACAACCACAAGAGCTTTTATAATATATTTGGATCAATGTCACGTATTACTGATTGACACTGCAAAGAACAAGATACTATGATTTTATTTTTTTCAAATAATTAATTTTTCTCCTTTTAATACAAGCGAGAAATGTAAATACACTAATTTCTCTCCAATCAATTGATTCTCCTTGGTCTCTTGGTACACAATGGTCTATTTGTTGAACCACATTTGGAAGATGACTTTCTACGCCTCTCACATATATCGCGAAGTAAATGTTGTTGCAAACACTTTGTTAACATGGCTTGCCTTCTCCAACTTTGGTATGACATGATTCTCATCCATTAGTGGCTCGTTCTACTTTGTTTTTCAGACTATGTTTTCTTTACTAGCTTCCGCTTCTCAAATTGATGTGCATCTTAGCATACAAATTTACCTTACTTTTTTTTTCTTTCTTTGAAGGATAAGGTTTATGTCCCTTCTTTTTTATGTATTTTATCTTTTTTCCTTGTATTATGAATAGTTTGATTTACGCCCCTTGATTAGATATAACTTTATTTATTTATTTTTTAATAAAATTCTCCTTGTATCATCGAAGTTTTAGAAAAACTTAACTAACTGGTTTGATCCACATGTACAACTCATCTTTGTCTATAGTATTTGGTATGTATATAATATAAGGAAAACTAATAAAAAGAGCTTAAAAACTTTAAGTTTTAACAATAAGAATAAAATAAAGAGTAAAGTGAATAGTATCAGGATTGACTTTTTAGTGTAAAAATATGATTTTTCATTAAAATGAATAGTACTAGGAACTTTTTCATTAAAATGAACAGTACCAGGAACTTTTCGTTAAAATTTCCAGTAATATAATCATCATATAGCAAAAATTCAGAATTTTTCTGTTGGAATCACATGTAATGGGTCCCACAACAACTAATTTTGTGGCCCTCCTCCAAGTGAGGACAAAGACAAGGAAATATCTGAATAGAAACACATATATAAATATGGAGTGTCTTCCCTGATTTTGATATATTATCCAGCAAGCAAAGTGGAAAGGGAAAAGAAGCCACTTTCTGTGTTTGGTGGATATACTTGGCTCGCATCGGTTTACACTTTATGGTCTTTATCTTTACCAATTTGGATTCCTTGTGTGTTGGAAAGGGATATATGCCCCTCCAATTGTCCACTAGTTCAAAGCTTATCTTCCCAATTTAGGCCCTACCTTGACTTTTTCAATCTTTTCATGAATCCGTACTTTTAAAATATGGAGTTTTAACGAAACAATTCTTCACTTTTCGTTAGTTTTTTTTAAAAAAAAAAATATATATATCACGCATTACTCTAAAGGCAACTGAAGTCGATCATTTTATAACTTGTTAGTTTTGTGATATTATTAAAAGTCAGTATGTTTTGAGCTTTAATTGACACTTAAGTAGATCAACATATCATAATTGCCAGAACAACGAAAAGCACATGAGAAAAATTAAAGTTTAGTTAACAAATATTGGATTTTGTTTACATCCAAATATCTCTCGCTTTATTAGCTATCTTATGTTACCTCACATCCTAAATATTTATAAAAACACTTTCTACAGCAACTAACTGAGGTGAAAACAAAAACGACCTATCCATAATGTTACACAGAGATTCCAGAAAATACATCTATATTATCTAATTCAGAAACATTGAGGCTGATCAGTAAACATTGCCTTATGGTACAAAAGTAAATGGAAAAAAAAGGTGTCATATTTGTCAGCAGCAAAAGGTTGAAGGGAGGTAAACCCGCTTCCATCACATTGCCGAAGTTTACCACTCAAACTTCAGCTTTGATCATGTTCTTTCGCGGAAGTTGAGTGACCGGGAAAACGCTGCAGGGTTCGCTTGCAACACTGGAGAAGCTTCAACCACGTGATTCTTCTCATCTCCCTTTGATTGAAACGCCTTGAAGAGACCTCCTCCCTCATTGGTACAGTTTCCCTTTTCATTCTTAATGCCAAGTGTTGCCCATATAGAGCTTCTTGCTGCTTCATTAGGATCATCGATCCTTAAAGTTTTTGGGATCCATACACATCTTTCGGAACTGTTCTCTTTCGCAGGCTCTTCGTTCTGAGAGCTGGATGGATTAGGTATGTCCTCGTCCCTTGAATGTTTCCCTAAGGTTGGGGAATTTGGACCGGATCTTGTAGCGCAATGGCTAAGAGTAGAGGATGGTGAGAGACATGGAACATTCCAAGGGCCCGGCACAGTGCAGCCCCAATATGGCGGTGCAGGGTAGAATGACATCGGAAAGCCTGAATGGCAGAAGCCGGGTGGAGGCATTGCAGAGGCCCACTGAGCTGAGTTCCATGGATAAGGCCAGGGGGAACCCGGAAAGCATGGTACTTGAGGAGGGAAAGTTTGACAATTTTGAGCTGACGGCTCTTGTGAACTAGCTCTGCCTCTCCTCTCTGTTGAATTTGAAGCTGTAATGGATGATCCACTTGAGCGGTCGTCCCCATTATCTCCAGCAGTGGGAGAAACTAGGAGTCTTTGTTCGGGTCCATGAAATCCATTTTGCATACAATTTTGGTTTCTCTCTGCAAGGTTCAATACAGAAGCCATTGATTCACAAAGAGGAGAATCTGAACCAAAGGTAAGGACAGTGCCGTTGCCTCCCAAAGTAGCGTTGTGTGCACCATTTGCAGTGCTAGCATGAGCTGCTTGAAGAGCATCTGACATAAAAATGTGACGATACTGTGAAGCTGAAGAGTTCTTATTCTTGCGACGACCAGCACCCACAGGCACATTCCTCATGATTCCTCCAGCAGTCCAATATCTCTGGCAGTTCTTGCAGAAATGGCGAGGCTGGTTGACATTGTAGTTATTGTAGTAACAGAACTTGGTGTCCATACTATTACATCGAGGGCATGGAAGTATCTTGTCTGGCTTCTTCAGAGTCTTATCTTGTGAGCTACCAGTCTCGCTCTGGTCTCCATTCTTAGATGAAGTTTCTCTATCAGCTGAAGGAGTTTTAGGATTCTCGCTAATTCCAGATGATGCTGTAGGAGCTTTTATGTCTTCTGTGATTTGATCTGAGATATCATCATCATGCTGTCTATCAGCTGCGAGTTCTTTTCCTGACATTGTTTCCTATATTCCAAACAAAAATTTCTGATCAGAAAAGTGCTTTTACAAGAATAGTTCCGAGTTCGCTCAATGTACTGATAAACAGATTGTTGTGATCATACATGCTAAAACATTGATTTATAAATCAAACAGAAACCGCTTTCGAGTTATTCAAGCAGAATAAACAAGAGAAAAAGGGTTGAAGAACTTTTGATACATAAATTTCGTTATTGTCCGAAACATTGTCATTCACAAAACATATAAAGGGGAACCAAAGTAGATAAGAACGGAGCCAAAAAAGAAAAAAATGTTGTTACAGAAGCAGACGGTGCAAAACACTGAAGTTGTCCGGAAAGAAAAAACATAAGCACTGCAGAAAAACCGAAAGCTATCTCGGATTTTATAAGCCGTTTGTTCAACTGACAAAAGTTATCCGTTCCCGACGAAAATGAAGTAAAATTCTAGGATTCTCCCTTTTCCTTCCTCTAAAACGTTACCAGCCATGTCAATGTACAAATTTGACAGATGGATAAATAAATCCTTCTGATGAAAACAGAGCAAGCAATTCAAAGTATCCGTGGAAAGAGTCTCAGAAGCCAAAAGCACAATTAGCTACTTCTAAAGTGCAGTGAAAAAAAGCAACTTCTCCTTATCACCATGCCTTTTGATTTCCAAACCATTTCAACTGGAACTTTATGATTATATTTTGACCAAAAAATAAAAATGTTTTCACCAAATCAACAAAAATCCAATTTTTCGGAAACTTGAACAGAATCAAACTAAACCGAATAAGGCTCGTAAATCCAACACAGCCAGCATCCGAATATCATGACGTAACCCTCAAGTTCCCCAAAGACAACCTCGGGATAATCAAGAGGACAGAAAAGAAAGGAATAACACAGACCAAATCGACAATCTTGATTTCAGGACAACAAATAGTCAGGAATCATTAAGTACGTCAATTTTCGGATCCCAAAATCACAAACTCAAGAGCAGGTAAAATCGAGCCATTAAAAATTCTGAGTTTCTGAAAAATGGGTTGTTCTTAGAATCTAAAATAACAGCCGCCATAGAAAACTCAAGATCAAACATACCTCTTTCTGTGCATCTTCTTCTCTCTCCGACTTCTCTTCTCGCGAATTGGTAGCAGCTGAAGAAGAAGAAAGCTTCTGGCTGGTTTCGGAACAGTCTTCCGCACCTCCACCGCCGCCGCCGCCGCCAGCAGTAGCAGCGACGTCAGAGTCAACAGCTCCACAACGCACGTCAATGGAGGAAGAAGACTCACGGTTCAGTGGCGCCATGGCCAAAGGTATAGTCTTTCCGAACAGCTTTATCATGTGTCCACCTCCTTCACTCTCCGACGACATTCTCGTAATTCGATTAAAACCCAGAAACAAAAATCTGTCTTTCGAACAAAAAGTACAGAAAGTTCGAGTCTTTTGATGTGCACTTGATGGTTTTGGGGCACTTGATGGTTGTTGCTTTTGTTGTTCTCAGAGTTCTGATCGAGGAGGATGAGGGGGAGTTTTGAGGAGAAGGGGGAAAGGGGGTGAGTGGGGTTTAACGAGGTGGGGAATGCCACATCATAAAAGGGGGAAAAGGGAGGAGATTTGTGAGCCACAAGTTGTATGTGGCGTTAGGATATCTTTCGCTCTGTTGGATTCCCCCACATTTCTTAAAAAGATAGTGCTTCTCTTTGTCCTCTTTTTTTTCAATTCCATGTCAGCATTTGAATTTCCACCCCTTTTCACAATTTGCTAATTACTCCCTTCTCTTTTACGAAAGATTTTTAATTGTGCCGAAAACACAGATTGATACATCAATGTCATAATACAAGTAGTTGATTTTTTTTTCCAAGTATTCAACTACTTGTATTATAACACTTCGTGTACCAGACCGTATTTTTGACGTACTGAAACATTTCTCCAACTTCACCTGCCTTTGCCAGTTTGCCTGCCCTTGCCAGTTTGCCTGCCTTCTACTTAAAAATATTCTCTCTTTTGTTTGTTCATTTATGCTATTTGCCTTATCAGATTCACTTATTTGTCCATGTTTTCTTTGCCTTTTGTCCAAATTATTACTGCAAGAGTTAGGGAATAAATGGATATTGAACTCGCTATTTACGATATTCAAACTTAAAACCTTACAAGAAGAGTAATACAACTACACTGTAGTAATTAGTGTCAAAAAAACAGTGTCTAATCACAACATATTACGTTGTACTTCAATAGAAAATAAGACTCATAAATACATACTATTGACTGTATAAATTGGATTATTGGTGAATGAGACCTATAGATATTTTAGCACCAATACAATTATAGAACATTGTGAATTTTCACTGATAAGTATGCTTGGAATTCTGTTTATTTTTCTGAAAAGGAAAAACTATCAAGCTTGTACATAGAAAATGACTGAAACAAGTTCGGTGTCGAGAAATGAGGCATATAAATACTGACTATTGTTGCACCTATAAAGAAATCGTGATTTTTTAGGATGAGTATGTATAGAGTTTTGTTTCCACAATAAAAATCTCAATTGTGTTTCATTGAACATATAGGGCTATTGAAAACCCTAACCCCCGAATGAAGTTATATAAAGCTATTAAGTACTTGCTGCAATGTGTTGAACTCTTGTTCCCTTATGATGATTAGTAAGTTAGATTTTGCAATGGGGAAGTAATAAAATTTACCAAATGAGCAATGGGGAAGTAATAAAAATTACCAAATGAAATACCACCTTAATAAACACAATCCGTAAATTTTACCTTAATAAAGTTCTTAGTTTAGTGGTATTTTTCTCATATGGACCACATGCATAACTAATGGTTAACTAACTACAATCATGTGCTTTACCAACTGAGCTAAAGATAAGCTGACTATTCCAGTTTGAATAAGTTGACTATAATAGTATATTTTTCATCATCTGCATATAAATTCGAATCATTTTTCATATTAAAAAAGAATGTAACATAAAAATAAAATTACAAATAAAAAATTCGAATTCAGAAGCAAATTACCCTTAATAATTTGGCTAAAAATTCAGATATGCGAAGTAGAAGTTAGTGTTTTGTGCGAGCATAATTATTGTGTGGCTTCTCTGGGGCAGGATAATGTTTATGCCAGCTGTGGGAAATAATTGGGTGTGCCGTGGGAAAAGTTCGCTTGCAGTAGAAAACACGTGGCGGACGGGGACCAGTGGGGGCCGATTTCAATTCGATCAGCTACCAAGGAATGGAGGGTCAGGGACCCACCTGCAACCTGCAAAAAGTGTAGTGAAAAGGTCATCTGATATCAGCATGTCACCGCCGTTGATCCCGTAGTTCGAAGCTGATGGCACTTTCGCTTCTGAGAGACTGAGCTGCCACGACTACATAATATCTGAAAGGGATTCTCTTCCAATTTATTTTCATCAACCTCACGCTATTTAGGATTCGGATCATTGAAATTTGATTAAATAATTACAGTTATTATAATTTTTAAAGACCATCTGTTTATAGTTATTAGATCAAATTCTAATCGTTCGAATTTCAAACTATATGGATTTGATGACAAGGGATTCGGAGCCCTCTCTGGTTATATCTAGTTCTAGTGGCCCTGCACATTTGTATTATTTGATTTATAATTCCATCGTAATATGTATTTATTACATCACGGGAACACATTATCTTTTAATATCTATTTTTTTCATGATTAATTAGTTGATGGCAGTCCCTCATTTCACCAAATGAATTGGGAAGTTTTGTTTTAGATCAAATCTTCTCCACCACGATTTAGTATTACGATCATTGATATTCTTCTTCATTTGTAAATAAAAGTTCTTAGGTTTGATTCTCATCAAAAGTAAATTTGAACTATATTATTGCTAACTCATTTTGAGGGTAAGCCCACCTCTAGATAATATCGTTTGTTCATAAAAATAAATAAATAAATAAATAAATCTGCACCCAAAATGAGTATAGCTTCTATGTAGCCTTAATCATTGTTTGACACATATTAAGTTGATGACAATAAAATTAAGAAAAGTTATGTTTATAAATACATGTCAGTCAACAATTGGGGACATAGAGAGGCCACACCAATTTTGGATGCAGAAGATTTGATGATCTCGTTTTGTTTAGCTACATATGAGTTTTGAATTGGCTATTTTTTTTTAAATATACTCATGATCTATTTCAACAAAATTACAGTGATATAGGATGCCTCTCTTTTCGTCAATGTGTGACTCATTCTCAACATGTCCCCTCGGGTGTGATGAATTTTCAAGCCTAGCATATGGGCAGAAAATGGGATAACGTGAAGCGTGTGTGGCCGTCAGGCTTTACAAGCGGGACAACCTGCTCTGATACTATGAAGAAAGTTGAGGTTCCACCATAAAACTAATTCGCAATAAGAGAAATAGCTCAATTAAGTATAATATGCAAGTTCCCTCCTTATATCAATATGATAATCATTCCACCAGAAAATCAAAGAGACACATTGTAAAAAACCAAAGGGAAGTGGCATGGACATTCTCTTAATTTCTTTTCGCATATAGGTAAGATCAAAAGGACAATGTCTTAAGATGCATGCATGCACACGTTACTGGTTTGGAAATGAAGTATAATCACTTTGCTCTTGGTTTTCCCTTCCTGCACTAATCCTGCCTTTCCTGCTAATTCAGAAGGTTGAAAGTTCTGTTTTCTACATATGTATATTATCTGGAGTCAATTTTTTCGGTATTTACTATTTATCTTCAGATATTCCACTTCCGGCAACTTTTTTACTTGTGGTCATAATTTATCTTTAAATTCTTAATAATATTCTTTTGAATTCAAAAGGGGGTCTGATTTCAATACTACGCAGATATTGAAACACATGTTCTTAGAATGTTCAACGAAATATGACCTATCGTTTCTTGTAAAGAAAAGTCGAAGTGCGGTTGATCAGTTATCTGTGATTTGCCATTTCAGACAGCTGGTTTAATTGAATCATAACATATTTAATATTTTGCTCCAATGAAATCCAAATCAAATAAAGAGAAAGTAGTGGCTGCCTCAGTGTACAGGTGGAGTTTGAAGAAGGTCAAGTGGAACACAACCCTTTAGGCTTTTGTATTTTAATTGTTTATCGGAATGATAAGAAGAGTTTGAGCCTTGGTGCAACAGAAGTTACTCTTTTGTGATCAAAATGTCACAAGTTCGAATCGTGAAAATAATATCTTTGAAAAGCAAAGATAATGCTGCGTAAAAAACATTTATTCTCGATTCTTACAAAACAGAGAGTATTGTTAGCTTAGAATCATAAATAAAATCTTTCATCATACAAACAAACCACAAAGGTGTTTTCTTTTTTCTTTTCTTTTTTCTGTTTTCAAACGAGAATAAGACTGACAGAGTCTTCCAAAATTCATGACCTCAATTATAATTGCTACACCTTGTTCTGTTGGCCGACATAAATATGTCTTGCATCTAAAGTAAACCCAAAAGTCAAGAACTACTTTATTTGCTTGGAATTTTACAGTTGAAGGGTAATAGAAATGCTGAAGTTTTGAACGAGAAATTGTAGGACATATTTGAATGGATGTCCATCGACTAGCACCCCAGAATTTCGAGAGAGGAAATTCAAACTTGTAGCCAAGTTACTCATGTACGTATCTAATCTAGTTGGGGCTTCTTCATTAATTAAGCTAACATAAATCTATTGATTGCAACATGAAAGTTGACACTGCATGCACAAGCTAATTGAATCTGACCTGATTAGCGTATTTTAAGTGTGACTTTCATGCTTTCCCCAGAATTGTATATCCAAAAAATACCCTTTCCCAGTAGTAAACCGAAAAATGAAAATTCCCTTTCCAATAATAAAGGAGCAAAATGAAATGAGAGAGCTCCAAGCAATCTTCACATATCCCCTTCCAAATTGTCTTCAAATATAGAGTTGCAGCCAAATGACAAGTGGTCCCTTGCTTTTAGATGTCTTATGAAGAAGACACACAATGTACGTATCACCATTAGGGTTATGGCCCAAACAAGTATTCATCCTATATTAGGAAAGAAAAATACACTTGTGAGGAATATAGAATGAGATTTTTGAAGTGTCAATAACACTTCCCTATATATATATATACACATGTATATATCATATAAGGGGTTTATAGCTAACGCGCTTATAGACTTAAGGGTTCTTATTCCAGCACCAGTAATTAAGATCATAATAGGTTCAATCTGCCCCACCTCTACCGTAGTTTGTACGTAAAAGAAAATAGTTACACAGTATAAAAGACTTTTGTATGTTACTTGATACACAAAATTTTAAGATTATACACAAAAAAGAACTACACGTTTACATTAGAACACAAATAAGAAGAAAGATTTAACATGCACAATAACATGGGACGAGTTTATGCTTAATAATCTTGGGATGAAGATCGTGGAGAAAAAGATTAAAACAGTGTTTGGTATTTTTAATCCCTAATATGATTTGTCAGTAAAAAGGAAATGTTTTAAGAAGAGTGCGTTATGACGAGGAGGAAAAGTAGAACGAACGAAAATAGGACAGGACGTTTCTAGGAAAATATGGATTTTTACTCTTTTAGGTAAAGAAATGACCTTTTATTTTGTTGTAAAGATTTTTTAATCTTTTCAGCAGTGTATTTTGTTATGCTTTCCCCTGAAGAAGTGCCCAGATTACAATTTATGGATTTGCTTTATATTCTTATAAGTTTGTAATTAAGCACGGAGAAATAAACTCCAGCAACTCGAGCATCAGCGTTCACATCTTTGTTACCAAGTTCATTGCTTGGGACATGTCAACGTTACTTGATATTCGAAATCTGAGATCAGATCTTGCATAGTGTTAGTACTTAGATTTAACATGTTAAGTGATGCAACATATTTGATTCACCCTTGAAGCATGACCAGAAACTTTGTTTTAAATTCATCACACGTTTCTATAGGTGTATTTAGTCTGAAAATAAAGCTTCCATTAATAAGTTTCTAGATGGTCTTGATACTATACAGGGTGCGGGATGTTATTTTGGATTTGTGCACTTCAGGTGGCCTGGAAAGCTTGTTCAGGAGGCCTATCTTCTGACTGATAATTAGTGTTGCTCGGCTTCTTACCTTTTATTCCATTCTGCCATTCTGCGTGGGTTCTTGACTTGTGTAAGCATCCCTTATCAAAGGATCTTAGATTTGCCTCACCTTTGGAGAACTTGGTGTTAGGGCATCATCAACCCGGTTGATTATGTTTTCCAAAGATGTGCCGGTAGAACTAGAGCAGTGAATTTTAACAATCTGATCTTTTGAGATATGAGACTTCTTGTCGGAGTCATATTGTATTGAAAACCTGCTTTGGGAGGCTGAGGTGGAGTCAATTATTATTCGTTCAAGTGTTGAAATGGACTTAGCAATCAATTTGTGATATATCAAATTCTTGTTTGTTGAAAGTAGGTCAAGTATTAGTTAGTCCTTCTTAGCTTTTTTTTGTTGCTTAGAAAGACAGAAGAAAAAAGGGTTCAAAGTGAAACCGTTGCAAAGTTAGATGGCTCCAAGTTCTAAATCATTGTTACTCCTGTTATGGAAGCAGCCGGCGTTTGGCTCATAGAACTTGGTCTCTGGAATTTTCAAGATACAAGTCACTGAAATGAGTGTGGTGAGTGTCTCTCTAGGAGAACATGTTGTTTTTCAGTGAAGACGTTTCTCTGAAGTTATAGTATATAGAACGATTGTTACTTAGAGATTGATGAGGATCTATGAGGTACCATATACATCATATCCTTTTGCTGGAAATAGTTGTTAGATTCTGTATCTAATGCTGCTAGCAAACTATAACAATAACAATACTAATACTAATAACAATAGAGTAACAGTAATAGCTATAAAATTTTATATTATATCCAAAATGGCAGGAAAACATCAACTTCTCAATGAATCAAGTAGAAATTAGAGGTACCCTATTTGTTTTCTTGAGAATTTCTACCAATTAACCAAGGCCTTGCCTCTCCAGGTACCTGCGTCATGCTGCTATGTCTTGGATTCATGGATGTCAACCAAGAGGTATTTTTGCATCCGTTGTATTGTTCCATTGAAAATAACATGGTCTTGCCTGAATTATTTGAGGGAATATTCTTCATGATTGTGTTTTGTCCATGTTGTGGGGTCTTGACAAAGATGGTGTGCCTCGTACATATTCTACGATTGTGAAATATGTACCGTCTTGATATATCCACTATACGCTAATTAAACATGCGCTTGGTAGACCCTGTATATATCTATGTGTAGCTTGCTACATCCTAAGATGTATAACGAACCTAAAGCTTGCATGATCAGCTAAGCATACCCTATAAGGAGAAGTTATATTGTCAGAAAGTTCAACAGCAATTTGATAGCTCCAAACATTGGCTTGTCGGCTCTCCAGATGTGTTCCTTCTAGAAGTAACACAACATTTGGTTCATGCTTTTAGTTTGATCTTTTGACAGGTTTCATTGTTTATTATTCTCATTACATATGCTTAAATATTAAAGCTTGATATTAAGAGCTTGCCGCTTTGTTTGTCAAGTCATTTGAGATGGCTGAATTCACTGCAGTTGGACACTCTTTTCAGTTCATAATGGCTCCATCGTAGTAAAATCCGATCTCAACGAGGAGTTTTGTCTTACATTTTCCTTGTACTTGCATTAAATACTAGGCCATAAAAATAAAAAAATTGTGTCCAACACAATAGAAAGAAGCCAATTTTTTAGGTGTAGCGTTTTTATCTGACTATTTGTTCGTGTAGAATTCATGCAAAAACAAGGACATCGACAGTGGTTGCAAAATGTTTATGAAGACGCTTCACTATAGACAGTGTTCCTTGTGCATTTCACTATAGCTCTTCAAAAAATTGAGGTGCATGAAAGTATGTAAGTTGTCATTTATACACAAAGACGAAGCCCATAACCATGGACTTGTTACATAAAGAAATTGATTGGTGACATATTGCTCACGTTATTTTCAGTAAGCGACTGTGATTTCTACACCACATTGCCAACAATTGTTTTTGGTTTTCTTTTGGTGGGATTTTGACAGGTTCCTTTTGTTTCGCCTTTCTTGATTCCTGAGGCCATATTCTTCTCATCTTCTTCTATCTCCATGCTTTTGTATTGTGAGATCTCCACTAATGGGGTCCCTTGAAGCATAATACTTGATGAGAGGCACCTTTGTTCATATGGCTTTTTGATTCACTGGACCTTCTCCTACTGACCGAAAAATACCAGGGGCCATTTCGGCATCATCCTAGAATCTCCTTTACTGGTCATGGAATATATTAAAGCGATGAAAGGAGCTCCAAGCAGCAGCTGGTTAAAGAGAAAGGTACGCCAATAACTCTTGCTTCTTTTCTTGTTTTTCAAACATTCGGGCCACACTACCATCAGAATTTGTCAATGATTATATTCCTTTCTTTGAACGTGAACTATGAGCTTGCCACTAGGGATATGTTAGCTCCATAGAGGAGAAGCAAATGCTTGCTCAGGAAGAACCCTCCACTACCACCGGGAACCTAGACCCCGCCACTCGTAGGTCCCAATGGTGCAATCTTTCGGTTAACCATTTTAGCTGCAGGAATGATGAGAGTAACAACCTGATTAGTGAAAGTATTTTTCCATGTGACCATGTCATTGTCTTGTATCCAAGGATTGTGCTAATGAGTTTAGGATCAAATGCTTGAACAGTCTCAAAGACGACAACGTATGCATCGTCTAGTTTGTTGATTAGATTAATGTGTTAAGAAGTAATTAAATTAGCATTTGAACTTTGAATCCTGGGACATTTGTGTATTTATGCAGCAGGCAGACCAAGTGAATGTTAAGCACTGGGATGGCAAGTCCTTGGAAGATCAATAATCATTGGATTTTGATTCCAGTGATCAAACTCTTGACGACAACCCAAGAAATCCCGAGATCAATCCAATATCGATCGACTTTTACGATTTGTTGTTGGCCACTGTGATTTGTGACCTCCTTTTCTTTTTTCTTCTTCACTTTTCTGATCAAAATTTTCTTTTTATTCAGTTCATTGGATATGGATTACAGAATTAAAGCTAACAATCCCTTTGGAATATATTTCTTTTTGAGAATTTCATGCAGAGTGAGAACCTGTAGATTGCCCTTTATGTCATTTCCATTTGTTTAGAGAGAGAAAAAGAAGAGAGAGAGGTTTGTGTTGCTTTGTACCATGACAATACTCATTCAGAGTTTTATCCTTTGTACCCGAGTTTAAATTCTTTACCATTTTATATCAAGGTAGTTTGAAATATCGTCGTGAAAAAAAAAACAAGTGCATTTGTACTTTTGATTCCCTGTCTCTAATACATCCAAGGCAGGAACCATTGATTGATGTAACCTCGTGAGGCATTTAGTGCCAGTAATTGGGCAACTAGATTCCCCCGTATTTGGATAATCTTACATATGCAAAAAAAAATACTAAATTGTCATATATATCCCAGTCAATTTAGTAAGATATTGTCCTCGTTTTAACCACTGTAATATACAGAATTATGATGATTACCACACGTGTCATGATTACCAAATGTGTCTATTATTTCAATAAAATTGGTGTGATTTGGTTCACTTTATGTGGGAATACTTCTATAGGAGAAAAAAAAGGTTATGGTTTGGGGTCCCAAAATCCAACGTTAGATTCGTTGATTCCTCCATCCTTACAAAGAACAAAAGGAATGTGCCAATCACACCACCCTTCCTCACAACAAGAAATACCCAAAAAATAAAAAACAAAAAGAAATGGGAAAGAAATATAAAAAAGAAAAAGAAATCCCCATTTCCCTTTCAATCACCAAAAGAAAAAGAAAAAGAAAATCCAATTATGACGTCCCCATCAACTTATTTATTATTTATAATTATAATTATTTTTTAGCTGCATTGCATTGCTTCTCGCGCTATTAGCAAAGTTGCCCCATTATTGTTCGTCATGGTGGGGTTTTTTGGTAACATGGAAGCAAAATAGAAAATAAACACTAACGAATAATTAGTTTAATTCTAATGATTTTAGAGAAGTTTGTTAGAAAGATGTCCGAACTAAACAAAAAAGAGACTTTGCAAGTTCTTGAAAATCTATCCCTATAAACATGCTGTAAATTGCAACTCCAATTATCTTTAATTAAATTTCTACACTTCAATATGAGATCATAGAAAAAATGGTTAAAACCAGGAGAACCATTAACGAGAGCATTCATGGTGGGGTTTCTTATTCATCAGGGAATCATGCATAGAGTCTAGAGAGAGAAACTAGAGAGATACGATGAGGAGAGAGAGAGAGGGATAAGAACAAACCATACACTTTCCCTTTTTTCTCTCCTTTTAAGGCTCTGTCACAAATTGAACTCTCTCTCTTGTTTTTGTTGCATCAGAGATTCTCCCTACCTCTTTCAAGTCAAAGAAGCAAAGAAAATAAAATTATTTTTTGAATTTTTTTAGAAAAAAAGTTGGTATGAAATGATAGAGAGAGAAATGGAGGAAAGGAGGAAGTACAGCTCATGGCATATATTCTCTGCCTCCGACATAACCCCACTTATGTTTCCGGATATGGAATGAGAACATAGGACACCCCTACAACTACTAGTCCCATCCCCTCCCCTCCCAAATTATAAAGACCGGACCTTGAAACTCCCCTTCCCTTATCGCTTGGATCATAGAAACCAGAACCGCCATTATATATTTATGTTCCTGCAACTTGCCATCTCTCTCTCTCATCCACCACCCCAACAAAAATGGTTCATCAGAATATGCAAAACCAGAATATGAATTTGGTTTTATCCACCGACGCGAAGCCGCGGCTGAAGTGGACTCCAGAGCTTCATCAGCGATTCGTCGAGGCTGTCAGTCAGCTTGGAGGGGCAGATAGTTGAGTATATAAGCTTGGTGATGTAGGGGGACGGGTGGGGGCTCTTAGAAGTGTAGGTCATGTCCCCTCTTCTTTAGGATCGAGGGTGGATGTTCGCATCTTGTGACCTTCACTGAGGAGCTGATCTCGCCTAATCCTTATTTTTAGTGTCTTATACAATACAATACGAAGTTCTAATGTGTGTGTGTGTATATATATATGTTTCATGTATGGACAGAGGCCACACCAAAGAGTTTGATGAGGATGATGGGAATTCACGGACTCACTTTGTACCACCTAAAGAGCCACTTACAGGCACTTTCTCTCTCGAATTTCGTCACATCTAATCTTTGTCCAGATCACGATCGAAAAGCGTAATTCTCAAACTCTGTTGTGTTCTGGTGCAGAAATACAGGCTAGGGAAAGGCCAACAGTCCGAGAACTCCGCTGACATCAAGCAAGAAGGTGAGTCCATTACATTGGATTCCGAAAACTATAGAGGATCATCATTTGTTGCTCATTCTTTAATCTTCGTCGATTCTTTATATTTGTCCTCTACTTTGATGCAGATTGCAAGGAGATTCAGAGCAGTGATGGTCATTTCGGCGCGGATATCAGCGATGAAGATCACAGTCAGATTAATGAGTAATATAGTTAGAAATAGATCCCAATCTCTTTGATGAATTTAGATGGAAAAATGACAGCACAAAGACCTCCCTATTGATTAAGCGTTGTTATGTTTATATCAGAAGCTTGCAGATAGCTCAGTCTCTCCAATTGCAAATGGAAGTGCAGAGGAAACTTCATGAACAAATTGAGGTAAAATCGATAAACGAATACCATGTTCCCATCTTCGATTCATAAAAAGATTGAAAAAGTATCAGTACTTAAAGCCGGAGTTTTGTTTTCAGGTGCAGAGACATCTTCAGCTGAGAATTGAAGCTCAAGGGAAGTATTTACAATCGGTATTGAAGAAAGCGCAAGAAACTCTTTCAGGGTATAGTTCTTCTTCAGTGGGAGTAGAACTTGCAAAGGCTGAACTCACCCAGCTTGTTTCAATGGTTAGCAATGGATGTCCGAGTTCTTCGTTATCAGAGTTAACAGCAACAGGAACTTCAACCCTAAAAGACGTGGAGCGGAAGCAAATGAGAGGCTCCATGGACAGTTCCTTGACATCTTCCGAAAGTTCAGGAAGGAAGGAGGAGAAGCTCCCTGAAAATTCTAATGCAACCTGTGTTGAACTACCATTAATGGCCACCCACCCGGACAATAAGGCATGGAATAATTCAGCAAGCAATCATGTTTTCGGGAGAAAGAGAAGCAGCATTCCGATTTCTGACGGTGTATCTGTAAAGCAACCAGTTGCTAAAAGAACACAAACACAAAGAGATAAAGGTGGAAACCATCTGAGAAAGTCTGGATTTTTGGCTACTATTGATCTGAATAGCAAATATCAGGGTGACAACATTGATTCGGGACCGAAAGTAATAGACTTGAACTGCAAGGGAATCTGATTCCTCAAATGCTTTTGGAGCCATCTGGTTTAGTTATATACAGTTTATGGAGAAAACTTAATTCCCTCCAGTCCTAGTCTTTTGTTTATATACATCTATGTACACTGTTATATATGTATGGCACTTTTGAAAGTATATTCATATCAAAAGAAGGTATAATATATTGTGTGGATACATCTCTTTCTCGCTCTCGCTCTCTCTCGCACGTGTGTGCACGAACATGCGTGTTTGAACACCGGATGGAAACTGCTTATTGCTTAATGCTTCTGAGATCTGATTAACCTAATTTGCCTAGAGAATTAGCTCTCTCTATCTAATCATGTCAAGCACTCTTGAAATATTTCTTTTCGATGTTTGTCAAGGGACAAGCAGAGGAGGAGGAGGGTGAGAAATCATCATAGAAAACAAAATTATGAACTAAGCACGCGCATGTTAGCTAATCAATATCAAAGAACTCACTCAAGTTTAGGTCCCCCACATGACAATAAGCTACGACAGCTCCACAATGCGTCAACATATGGAATGCATTGGACCGGCGAGATCCTTCAGACCGTCAAATATGGAAGTTTCGTCTAAAATATTTAAATCTAGCCGTCCAGTTGAGTAATGTATGGTAGAAAAACTCGAATATACAATTCATACCTTTATCTTCCTAATCCTGTTATATGAAAGCACCAATCTTGGAGTTTCTAATGCTAAACACTAACTATTCAAAGTGATGAGCTTTTTATTCTATTTGTTCCTCCTAATTGTTATCTTGGCTTTGTGTTCTTCATGGATTCAAGGTTTGTCACTAACCCTGTTTACTTTCACCAACATCTCATTTTAGAAGCTTGAATGTTCTGTATTGATGTCCTGTTTTCGTAATCGCAGGGCAAACATTACCCCATATGAGTTCAGATGTCAATGAAGTTTCGGGCAAGTCCTTTGACTACGTTGTCATTGGAGGAGGCACTGCAGGCTGTCCCCTAGCTGCAACCCTGTCGGAGAAATTCTCAGTGCTCTTGGTGGAACGAGGAGGTTCGCCATATGGAAATCCCTTGGTGTTGGATACAAAGGACTAGGGATTCTCATTGTTCCAAACTTATCAATATACATCAGTTGCACAAAGCTTTGTGTCCAATGACGGTGTGAGCAATCTCAGAGGCAGAGTTCGAGGAGGAGCATTAGCTATAAATGGCGGGTTTTACAGCAGAGCAAGTGAGGATTTTGTCGAAAAGGTTGCATGGGATAAGGAGATGGTAACAAATGCTTATCAATGGGTCGAATCTAGAGTCGTCTTTAAACCCGAACTGACCCCGTGGCAGTATGCTGCTGAGTTTAGCTTTCTTGAGGCAGGGGTTTTCCCTTACAATGGTTTTAGTTTGGATCACATCGAGGGAACAAAGGTCGGTGCAAGTGTGTTTGATGAACAGGGAAGAAGACACACCTCAGCCAATCTTCTAGAGGCAGGAAATCCGAACAATATCACAGTTCTTCTGAATGCAACTGTGAAGAATGTCATCTTTCACAGAAAAGGCAAGCATAAAACTGGTAGTATTTCTTAACGGCGAGTTTCTGCACCCCTTTTTCTCCACCTGCACTCTTCACATCTTCTTTGGCCTTTGGAGTTGATGTGTCAAAAGAGAATTAACGGACAGAAACAAGGGGCGGAATGCAGGAAGAGAAGATAGAAGTGTAAAATCACTATCCTTAACTGGTCAACCCTTTATGATTGAATTCCTAAATGGTTTTTGCAGGTGACAGAAATGAGACAATAGCAGGAGGCATACGATTCATCAAGAGCAACGGAAACTCGAGTGAAACTTATGAAGCTCACCTCAACCAGCCAGAGAATTCATGCTCACGGGGTGATGTGATACTAGCAGCAGGAGCTCTAGGCAGTCCTCAGATTCTGTTGTTAAGTGGCATCGGCCCTCAACAACACCTAAAGAACTTCAACATCGAACTAGTTGTCGACTTAGACGCTGTTGGAAAAGGAATGAAAGACAATCCTGGCATTGCTCTCTTAGCAGATCCTAAACCGAAAAATTTCCCACCAGAACCTCCAAAAGTTGTCGGTATAGCAGATGACTTCAAGATCATAATTGAGGCAGGAATTTTTCCTGTCAGCTCCAATGCAACAGTAATGCCGATAGCTGCGAAATCGCCTTTCCAGAATCAGAAGGAACGCTTGAGCTGAACAGCACTGACCCCAGAGAAAACCCTTCAGTCACATTCAACTATCTGGCAAACGAGAAAGATTTGGCAGAATGTGTGAAGCTGTCTCAGTTGCTTGAGCGAGTGGTAAGGTCTGAATCGATCGCGTTCTTCCTGGGGATCAAATGCAAGCGAAAAGAAGAGCTGATGTCTGCGGAAGATGAGCTGAGAAAACTGTGCAAGAAGAATGTGAGGACTTTCTATCACTACCATGGAGGTTGCACCATGGGCTCAGTGGTTGACAAGGATTACAGGGTTTATGGAGTTAAGGGACTGAGAGTAGTTGATGGATCAACATTCTTTGAGTCACCGGGCACAAATCCAATGGCCACTTTGTTAATGCTTGGAAGATACCAAGGGATGAAGATTCTTCAAGAGAGAGAAAATGCTTAAACCCGAAAGGTGATCGACTTCATCAACTTGTATTTGTAATAACTGATATAACAGAAATATAGTTAGAGGGGTATTATTGTAAGTAGGTTATATGGCTATATAAGGGATTGTATAGCTATCATTTCCTTAAGTTCATTTGTATACATTTTATCCATTCAATCAATACAATCTCTCTGGTTTTCTCTCTATCATCTTCCTTTTCCTCTGTACCAACTTTATATTTTGCAATGTAGTTAATAGTATTTTTAGCCATAAATATCATGTCAAGTTAAGATTTTCTTTGGACTCCGATAAACCAAACCAACCACAAAGAAAATACCAAAATCCAACTTCAGTGCTCACCGGAAATTTGTATGAGTTCCAAGTCCACACTTCACAAGTAAAAGTTGAACTATAAGGCAGAAGAATAGGAACAAAAGATCATTGACTAAATTGTTAGTGCGTGAAAATGGATGGGACAGTTGGTGTTTTAGTTTAATTAATTTAACAGTAATTAGGTAGTAAAACGGGGAGCCTTGACACAATGGAAATGATGTTTTTTTGTGATTTAAAGGTCACCGGTTAGAGTCATGAAAGCAGCCTCTTTGCAAAGTAAGGGTAAAACTGTGTACGATAAATGTTTGTCCGATCTTCACAAAACATTGGTGACAGATTAATCTCTTCTTCATGCAGTCTCATATGACATGAGGTGGTAACATAACTTTAACTTTTGAGTTAAACGATACGCCAAAGTAGAGTTGGTAGCTTCATAAAATGCATCCGTGGTAATTTGAACTCGGGTTAAGCGCTCCAACTCTTAACTTGTTTCCAATAGACCAATTTATGTATTCATTTATTGTATTCAGATTAGATTTTAAAGGAAATCCATGTATTTATAAAAAGTACAATGTTTATTAATGCGGTGAAATAATAAGTAGAACAAGAGGATATAATGCAATTAAATACAGGCCTCTTTAGTATGAGTGATTTTTCAGTGTGACCGGCACGCGAGATAGAAGGAAACGGTTGTTGACTTGTGCCTATTAATAAAGAAAAATGTCTTTAGTAGAACACAAGCATCAGAGAGAGTGTTCATGGCAATGGGATTTTCATTGTTTGTGTTCCTCCCATTTGCTTATTTGGCCTTGTGTTCTTCATGGATTCAAGGTATGCTATTTACCCTTCTCAGAATAACTGAAAATAAAAGCGGACAACTGAAAAACGAAATGGTTATCCAAAAAAATTAGCTAGCCTTGAATGTTGAGAAATGATTATCACATTTTGATTTCTTTCCTGTTTGCTGGACAAAGACTCCCCCACATGACTACTTCAGATGTCGATCAACTCTCCGGCAAGTACTTGACTACATTATCGTTGGAGGAGGCACCGCCGGCTGTCCCCTAGCCGCAACCCTCTCTGAGAAGTTCAATTGCTCTTGGTGGAACGAGGTGGCTAGCCGTATGGAAATCCCTTGATATTGGAAAACAGGAACTATGGGCTCCTATTGCTCCAAACTGACGAGTACACATCAGTTGCGCAACATTTTGTCTCCAAGGACGGCGTTTCCAATTTCCGAGAAAGAGTTCTAGGAGGAGGATCTGCCATCAACGGTGGGGTTTTCAGCAGAGCAAGTGAGGACTACGTCGAAAGGGTTGGGTGGAACAAGATGGTGTTGGATGCTTACAAATGGGTGGAGTCTAGGAATGCCCTTAAACCTAAACTGACCCCATGGCTGTATGTTGCTGAGCTTAGCTTTCTTGAAGCAGGAATTTTCCCATACAACGGTTTTAGTCTGGATCATATAGCGTGAACGAAGATTGGCGTGACAACGCTTGATGAACGGGGAAGAAGAAACACCTCAGCTGATTTTCTCACGGCAGGGAATCCAAATAACATCACGCTTCTTTTGAGTGCAACTGTATCGAGTGCCATCTTTCATAAGAAAGGTAAGCATGAAACTGCTGAGATGCGAAACCCACGCCGCGGGAGTTAAAGCCTGTCAACGGTCCCTATCGATTTTGGTTAAATTCCTAATGGTTTTTTGCAGAGGCAGTAGCTAGAGGAATAAATTCATCAAGAGCGACGGGAGCTCTTCGCGAACTTGCGAAGCTTATCTCAAGCCGCGGAAGAACTCAAGGAGTTCAGCGGGCGGTGTGATACTAGCTGCAGGGGCATTAGGCAGCCCTCAAATTTTACTGTGAAGTGGCATTGGCCCTTAGAAACACCTAAATAAGTTCACAAGTTCACATTCCAGTTGCAGTAAACCTAAAGGGAGTTGGGAAAGGAACGAGAGACAACGCTTGCATTTCACTCAAACCGGAGCAATCGCTCTCAAAACCCTTCAGTCACATTCAACTACTTGGCAAAGGAGAAAGATATGGCAGAATGTGCGAAGCTGCGTCGGCAGATGGAGCGAATTGTGAGGTCTGAATCGATCGGTTACTTCCTTGGGATCGAACGCAGAAACGAATCAATATCTAGTGAAGATGAGCTGAGGCAACTGTGCAAGAACGTGAGGAGTTTCTATCACTACCATGGCGGCTGCACCGTGGGATCACTGGTTGACAAGAATTACAGGGTTTACGGAGTGAAGGGGTTGAGAGTTCCTGCAATCGCCGGGCACAAATCCAATGGCCACTTTGCTAATGCTTGGAAGATATCAAGGGATCACGATTCTCCAAGAGAGTAAATTGCTTAATTAAATCTAAATTGTTTAATTAAATTTGTGATTACCTTAATCCGCTTGTGCTCTTATCGCAAATGCAAGATCATAAATTTCGGAACTGGAAAAATAAGACAAAAGTCGAGGTGTCATTTTTTAGGGAAGCCCTCTATGAACCGTGTTAGCATCATTTTTTATGCTCGCATTCTAAAATATTGTACCAATATCACATAAAATCGAGACAAATCCCACTTATCATTTCTCAATTTTTAGATAAAAATGAAGAGTAAAAAATTAAAACTAGCAAAGTGCGAATTTCCCCGTAAAATGAGAATTACCACAATATATAAAACTAATTTTGAACCTTGAAATCTTTGAGATCCTGTACAATATTCCTCCTCGTTCCCACAAATTCATAAGAAAAAAAAAAGAATTTTTTATTTTTACTAAAGCAACTTTTATTCTAACTCTGCATCGTATCATCATCGCTGGATTGCTCAGAACCCTCGCTTGCTCTCCTGCCATTGTGAACAAAAACCCTAACCGTAATCTCCCCGTGGACCCTCGTTCCCTCTCCGCCTGCTTCACCGCCCTTCTTCCGCACCTCCTCCTCCTCAACCGGCATCGTAAACCTGCAAACCGGGCACGACCCACGAAGCTTCAGCCACGTCTCTATACAATCCCCATGAAACCTGTGCTTGCAAGGCATCTCCCTCGCCACGCCGTCGACCTCAAACTGCTCCAAGCAAATCGAGCACTCAGACCCGACGTCCGCCTCGACAATCTTGACACTCGGCATGGCGTCGATCGACGCCTTCGACGCAGGCGGCTGACCGTCCTTGCCACCCAGCCCCTGCAGCAGCGAGTCCAGGTCCGAATCGCCTCCGATCACCGCCACGCGTTGGTTGAAAGGGTCGACGAGAAATATTCGCTCCCGCGGGGTTCGTCTTTCCGGGTTTTCTCCATCTGGGTTTTCCGGGTCGAGTGTCGCGGCGGAGGCGACTGCACCTAACATTAAGGGCATGAGCACAGAGAGCTCTCGATCTCGACCCCTCCTCGTGAACCAGTCAAAAAAGGATGCGAACTCAGGTTCGGAATCCATGAAACTTGTGGGTTTTTTTCGGATTGAAAGCTTAAACAGAGAAATTTTCAGGGAACTTTGGGGAAAACGAAGAATGAGAAAAAATTAGAAAAATTAGAGAATGGGGTTTAGCGATCGGGAGGGGGAGGATTAAAGAGGTGAGGGGAGCATGACCACTTAAGGAAGAAGAAGGGTGTAGAAAGATCTGGAACTTCTGGATGCCTTCCACGTAATCTTTACGTCAAACAATTCACACATTTAAAATTTGGTCAAATTAATAAAATTATTATAACTTTTAAAGTAAGTTTCTATTTATAACCGTTAGATTAAATTTTAAAGATCTAAATTATTTAATGAGTAAGATTAGATGAAAAGAATCCGGATGCGAGTATCCCTTTCTGTAAATTTGGTCAAATTATTAAAATTATTATAACTTTTAAAGTAAATTTCTATTTATAACCGTTAGATTAAATTTTAAAGATCTAAATTATTTAAAGAGTAAGATTAGTTGAAAAGAATCTGGATGCAAGTATCCCTTTCCGTAAATTTGGTCAAATTATTAAAATTATTATAACTTTTAAAGCAAAATTTCTATTTATAATCGTTAGATTAAATTTCAAAGATCTAAATTATTTAATGAGTAAGATTAGCTGAAAAGAATCCGGATGCGAGTATCCCTTTCCGTAGACAAGGTAGGTGAGACTACTGTCACACTACACGTGGTGTATGAACTAAAATTATTATTTTTGTTTATTCCAAAATATTTTAAAAAAATAACGATATTCACACTTTTATTTTTATTTTTTACATAATTTTTATTTTGTTGTCCTTAAATCGAAGTATGAATTAAAAAATGAAATCCCAATAAAATAAATAGAAATTTGAAACGCACCCTCGCCTAGTTAATACGACATCGCTTTTTGGTACATTCAAGCCCGATCCCTGTGGATTTCTTGAGTAATCCATACTTAGAAGATTCAAGAGAGCCGCCAAACCGGAAACTGTGCCTCTGCGCCAGAATACGCCCCCGTTACGAAACTTCTAAAATCAGCGCAATTTTAACTTTCTGAAAAGACCGCACGCAAGGTGTTTGATGAAATTCCTCAACGACCTTCTTTTGAACATAAAGTGGTGTGGGCATGGCTCTTGCGAATGCTGCTGCTCTCAAGTTCTCGACTTCTGCGTTTTTGGATCTTCTTCGGCAGCTTCCATCTTTCAAATTCAACCCATGCAGCAGACTGGAAGAACAAGTGAATGATCCAACTTACACTACTTGTGCTGCTGTGCATGCAACTCTGTGTTATTGGTGTACCGTTAAAGCTTGGGTTTCGTGTAGGTTTCTCGGTGAAGCCGTTTGTTATGAGAGCGAGGGGGAATGCCAGGATGGATAGTGCGAAAACTCGAAACAGAAGAATGCAGAAGAAGGTAATGTCATTGTCATCTTCCATGCATTTGATGAAATATGCGTGTATTGGTTGCTTTGGTTTCTGATCCGCCGGAATTGCGGTCTTTTTTTCGCTTCTGAATCAGTATAACGGCACATCCAAGAGACCGAGGCTTTCAGTATTCTGTTCAGATAAACAGTTGTATGCAATGCTGGTAGATGACCAAAACAAGAATTGTTTGTTTTACGGAAGCACCCTGCAGAAATCTATTCGTCAGAGCCCCGATTGTAGTACCAGTGTTAGTAGACTTCAAGCTCGAGCGGCGCGATCTCAGCCATTTTCAATTCGCAGAACTATTTGGTAGTGCACGGTGCAAGTTCTCTAACTCTGTTCTGCCTAAACTTTTGTAGGAAGCTGCTAAACGTCCCGGTGAGGAGCTCGTCAAGGCCTGCAATGAACTCAACATACATGAAATATCATCTTATGACCGCAACGGTTTTGCTACTGGGGAAAGGATTCAGGCATTCGAGATTGCAATTTCTCAGCATGGTTTCTTGTCAAGATAGATTTGTTTGCGCGTGAATTCTATACATCAACTCCACCTCTGTTATACTATATCCTATGGCATCGCTACATAGTATTAACTAAAATATACAGCAATCGTAGGCTCGTTACTGAAATAACTCTCTCCTCTTTTAGTTAGCGCCTTGGTAGGGTCTCGGCTTTGGTCCATCTCGGTCATCTACTCTCAGACAAAATGATCGGGCTAACCAAGACTTCTCTCTTCAGCTTCGGAGGTTGATCGCAACTAAAAGGTTCCGATATGGAACGAATGATCTAGCTGTGTCTACCTATCACCACCACAGCATTTAGCAACTTGCCCTTCTTGAATTTTCTGCCAGAGACAAAGCATCTCCCGGGGACCTTGGTAATGTGCAACGACATACCCGTCCTTGCATCCTTCGTTGTAGACCTTCTCTTCCTTCTCATACCGTACATTTAGACCCTCCTTTTTCATATTCGCGATCCAGATACCCATCGCCACGTCTTCCAGCTTAAACATCTGATCATAACAAAGCAGTGTTCTCTTTCAGATACTGGAATCCTTTTGATTGAGAAGCTATAGTGATAGACTGGTTGTAAAATGATTGTTTCTTACCTTTAATCTTCCCCTTTTATATCGCTGCGAAACCGCCTTTGCTATGTCATTCGATATCACATAACCAGGACCGTGCGCCCAAGGTGGGTAAGTCGCTTCGGGCCATTCCTTGATTAACGCAGCAGACACAGCGAAAGGGAAAAAAATGTGAGAAGCAGAATACAATTTCTTTAACCTTTTACAACGATAAACTACGCATCAATTTAAGATATTGTAATTTGATTCCTAATTTGGGGAACAAACTCAGTTGTACCACAGCTTGCAAAGTTGGCGAAGTGTAGAAAATTACCTCATTGCTGATATACCACTTGCTATCTGGACTTCGATGAGGTCGAGAATCTGAGTTAATGAGGCCATAGAGCAAGCCACGATTCACTTTGATCCTGTGTAAGGAAGCTAGCACTTCATCCACACGAACAAATGCATCGTCATCCGTCTTCATAACAAACTTTGCTGAAACAACCTCCGTCTGTTGAAGCAATCAAATCAATTAGAAAAAGAAGAGATATCCCCACGCCACGCACTCAAGAAAAAGTAAGGATTTTACCCCAAAGATGCAGATGGCCAAAGTTTTCCAGGTAATGAGGCCATAGTAATCAACAAAAGGCATCAGCTGTATGTCTCCATAGGTTTGTGCCTCGTTCCAAAGTTCCTCGTTCACTATTTGGTTCTTATGCTGCATTATGTTACAAACTTGATGAATAATTTAGCAAAAGGACTCAAAGAAAACATAACGAGGATATAGAAAAGACGGCACAAATATGTTTTGGTGAAAACAGTCATAAATTTTGCACATTAATGAGCAACACGCCCAATGATGGAGAAAAGAACTGTTGTAATAACGAAGAACAAGGTTTCACATGCGAGCTCACCAAACCAACAAAAAAGCGAACTGAAACTGCCCCTGATTGCACAGCTGCATACTGCATCCATGTTCTTCGAACTGCCATCCTTCGTTTAAAATTGTTTGCGGTAGAGAAAACACCAATAAAGAGATCCATTTGTTTGTGAGGAGAGAGAGGTGCAGACTTGAGTTCTTCTAAATTAATTATGTGCTCCGACTCCTCTGATGTGGGTAAACCGCTGACTAGGACAGAAACTAATTTCAAATCCCCAGATAGCCTTACTTCATTAACAAGCCATGGCTCCAAAGTCTGAATAGAAAACCAGCAAAACAGCATATGAATTCATTGGGACTTTACCTTTTAATTCCAAAAGCAACAAAAAATATTAAATTTGAAGAACTTACTTCGCGGAATGCAAAAGATGTTAGATGCTTCCCATCAACAGTCATTTGGATTCCTTCTGAACCCACTCTAAGTGTAGCAACAAACGGATACCCTTGCTTAAATGGAAAGTATCTTCTGGACTTTGATCCGTCTTGCGCAGTTGAAGCCTGCCTTGAAACATTGGAACGCATTGTCTGCTCTTCAGTTTTTCCAACAATCTTGTTGCATTGGTCCAATTCATCCACTGGCAATCATTAACAATTTAAGATAAAGTAAGAGTAACAATTAATAGGCCTTACAAACTATATACAGAAACAAGTAACTGAGCATGGTTTCACATGGAAACATTACGATAAGTCGCATGCTATCACCCGAACATGAAAAGAATTATAGACAATTATCACCAGTAACTGCACCAAATAGTGTATTGAAGACAATCTTCTTCTGGATAAATCAAATTCTTTAGGCAAAATATGGGTTGAATATTTTTCTTAACTTATAGCAGAAATTCTGTGTCTAACGTGGGTAATGCAATTATCAACTTTCTTGGACTAACAAAGTACTAATTTCTATTTAAAAGGGTCGAACATAATATGCATTACTGGTAAAGAAAAGAGTTTATCTGTTGGATGCACACCATGACGAGAAAAGGAAGAATGGGCTACAAAGCTATTGACAAACTGTGTCATGTTACTGTAACAGCAATTCCACTATTTGTCACCAGGCACAATAAGTCAATGAATTATCAACTGTAATATGTCAAACAAATCTACATACTAAATCTTTGATATGATCGACTAATAGAAAAAGCGGCAGCAAGTTACCTTTATTATTCTTTTCAGGAGTTGGGGACGGGCAACGCTCCTCTTCACCCCAATCATGAGCAACAGTCCATGTGTTCTGGACAATTACGGGGTCCTCAGTTACCTTATCACCATTTAGCCTAACATTATAATGCAATATGATGGGTGGGTCGGGCTCCCCTGGAAGAGGCTCCCCTGTCAAGTCAATTCGAAAGTTTCCAAGAAATCCATTCGGAATGCCAATAACTGTAATTGAAGAACCTTGAGTTAGGCCACAAGGGACCCGCAACTTAGAAACACTATTGTCGATTCCTGTCCCATTCATTTTATTAAGAAAATGAGGACATTGCTTTTCTTTTGCTTTCCCAGGTGAAATTTCATTTGTGTGACCAAGTCTTTGCTCTTCAACCGAAGCCATAAGACTATTCCATGCAACTCCAGCTTCCTTTATAGCATCCACCCCATTAGGCAAACCCTGAGCTTGATTAATCAGATGTTTCAAAAGGTTCCATGTATGCATAGTTTGCCGCTCTTCATTGGATACATTCCTCTGAGCAAAGAGGCTAAGGGCTATAGTCTCTCCAGAAATCACTTCAGAAGCATTCTCTGGATTCTGAACTGCAGGTGGAGTAGTATCTAACCATTCAAGAGGATTACTAATATTCGTGTAGAATGCATTGGTTAAGAAACTATCCCCAGCAGGATAGTTTATGATGCCATATCTCAAAACTAGCAGCATGAATAGACATGCAGCCACAATACTGCCATATGATTTCTTCATTCTGGGGATTACGAAATTGCATCAACAGCTCTTAGCCCAACTTCCCAAGTTATTGATCATCATGCAGCCCAATTAACATCTTTTGAGAATCACGCGCATGAATCACTAAACGTCAATCCCTCACAGGAAAATCCAAGAGACCAGGTGCTTAAAAAGAGAGAGAAGAATGATCTGCCACATGCAAATAGCTAAGGATCTTCGGTAAGAAATCAACAGGTCACAAGACATATACTGGTACACGTGGAAGGATCTCTACTTCTGTCAAGTGTCAAGTAAATGTTTCACATCTTCCTTTTCAGACTGCCATCCAAAGAGAAACCAACTATGGCTCTGCCAACAACTCTATCTTCCAGAGACACTACCACACTGAACCAAAACCCAAATTAATCAGTCTACAAGAACTTACAAAAATCACCAACTGAAAAATCAGACGAAAATGAATAAGCAATGCTATGCATACATATAATTCTCAAGGTACCCAACTTCAATCATTTCATTCGCAACTTATCTCGATCTAAATCCTAAATGTCCACTTTGCATCCCCAACTATTTCCAGAAGCACCAGAGATGGCACCGAATCTGGACTCGTCTAATTATTACATGGTCATTCATCATATTTCATTAAAAGCTTGTTCAATGTTTTCATTTAAGTTCATGATCAGTATTAAATTAAGTTTATGCACATTTTGAAGTCATAGTTCATACAATCGTTAATAAGGGTTAGCCTATTCACGGAAGGTTGTTCCATGCCCAGACTATTTAAAATCCCTCCTCATGTACGGAAAGACATTATCCAGAAATTGAGAATTACTTCTAAACTCGTATCTCTTTGGTAGATTCTTTAGAGTGGCGAGTTATTTATCTTTGAGTGATCAACATTATCCAGTGTGAGGAAAGTTGCTCTAAAAAAGTTGAAAATTTCCATTAAAAAGAAAAACATATAATATTTTAAGACATTTCAACAAAATACAAACAGTAGCAGTTAATTCCTTGTCAAAAATATCCACAGACCAACTGGTCAAATCCCTACGAGTAGCTACGATACTGAAATTACTAGAAGTTCAGGGACCATACTGAAAAATTGAAACCTACAATCTCACAGCTCTTGAAGTAATAAATTCTGACGAAATTACGGAAAATAAAGTGAATTAGATTTCTCGGTCGAGTAATCAATCCAACATTTTCTTCTCTGATTCATTTGAAGCTTAATTTCGAATTTCGAATTACGAACCATAAAGTTCTGGAGTGAGAAAATCAATACCTCCGATCGTCTTGTTACTAAAACGGCACACTATGCTAAGCTCGATTCTGATAGAATCGTCAACTTTCTCGGCAACCAAACAGTTCTCGAATCGATTGAAGCAAGAAGCAAGCGACCGGACTGGACAGATCCGAACGCGGAAGCAGCCGAAGAAGAACAACTCGGGACGCAAGCTACAGTAAAAGGATAAAATTATGAAGATGACTAACAGAGGACTTAAAATTAGAGACATGACTAATAAGGACAAAGGTAAAAATCACCTTGTGAGGAGAAGAAGCGGAAGCGGAAACTTTCTGTTTGGGAAGAATGCCGGAAAGTGCGAGAAAATTCGCCGAGAAAATTTGAAACGGGAGAGAAAGTGCTGGGAGTGATGGATTTGAAA